GTTGTATGTTTATGAATATTCATCATTACACGAACTAGCCAATCAAATGGCTGGATTTTATATCATGTGCCTTCGGTATGTTACCCATGGTCTCACAGGTATGCACTCTTGATATTGGGCAAGACCAGACACAACTGTCCATCATGATGCTGATTCACTAGTCTAATATTAGTCTCCCGATCATAGACTGCATGTGGTCTCATCAACTGTGGGTGATATCTGCAATTACTCGTGCCTGCTACTGTGTTATTCAGAAGTGATTTTTATTTTGATGTGAAATTGGGTGTTTTAAAAATGTATTTATTCTCATTATTATATAATATCATTGCCATGGTTAATAAATCATAATGCATTCTTAAGGTTTCTGAATTAGTTTTTATAATATGAATACCAAATATTTGAATTATATGCAAGTTCTTTTTCAAAAATTGGCTTGATTTTTGTTTATGCTGAGAAACCTACATTAAATGATTTAGGTCACGATACTAAGACATAAAAACAATAAATAAAGGATTATGCATTAAAAAGCATTACGAAAGTCTGGCACCACACTGCTAATGCTCATTTTTCTCCAAATTACGGTGAACAATGAACCAACCTCTACCACGTGAGCGTATTTAATCATTAATATATGTGCGGCACATCTCTCAATGTGAGCAGGTTTCTGTACATTTATTAAAGCGGGGGAGTCGCCACCTGCGCATGCGTTAGATGGCCATTGTTTACAAACAAGCGTCTACCCATGAGCCTTAGCTTTTTAGCGTGCGTTATCGTAGCTTGGGACTCAATTCCCGCGCGTACGCAGTTGACGACCCTCCCGCTTTAAATTTATTAATATATCTGTTGCCATCTCGATTCAGATGCATGTGCGACATGATGTAGGAGGGAATTTTGAACGAGATCTGTCCGGCAGAGATAGAGGGACTGTGTTTCAAATGATGGATTCTTTTTTTTTTCACTTGCAAGTTATTTAATGTACAACGTCAGTATCTAGGTATATGTAATGCTCTTAATTGTCCGCTTTTTGGCAATGGTCGTTAAAAATTGACATATAGCACAGGTAATGTTTCACTAAAAATTCGTACGAAAAGGCCGATAATTCCAGCTATTGCAATTTTAACGGTTAGCATGTCGGTCAATCTTTGGTGTACTTCAAACACAGCAGTTTAATAATGAAAACAATCCATACTGCCCCGGAAGGCTCTCGGCATCCAGGTTTGCGAATATGGCGTCCAGTTGTCGGAGGGAACGTAAAGCTTGATTTTGTGTGCTGTACAGTTCCTGTCAACAGTGCACATAAAATATCACAGCACTATTGTCACACAGTAGCGGATTACCGTAGAATGTCTGGAACTTGCCCTTAGCTTGAATACCGGACGTTCTTAATTAAACGAAACACCAACATAATGTGACAATTTCAAAATTCGAATTGTCCTTGCCCACTGTAAAACCTTGAGTCTAGTTGGGTTAAAAACATTTGCATCAAGCCTTCATAATAAAACCTCTTCTCTAGAGTGTTTGCCTGCCCTTTAAAAAGTGCACCTTTAAAAAGTGCACCTTTAAAAAGTGGCAATAACTTTCATATAACCAGAACTATATTACTGTTTTGTAAAATATTTATAGTATATGGAAAATCCAGCATCACCTTTCTCGACTATTTGCTATTTGGTAGTTATAAACAGCTTTGCAAATTATGCAGAGCACCGGAAAAAACAACAACAACAACAACCCCGCGTACAGTACATAGCTTAATAGCCAATCAGAGGGAATCGATGTGACAAAAAGATGAGGATAAAAGAAATACTTCGAACTAATTGAGATCTGTTCATTTGGTACCCATGTCGATGTATTGGAAAAGATGTAAACATTTCATTTCAAATAACTTGCATTACATCATCTGAGCTCATAAGAATTCTGAAATAGACAACTACGAGCAGGGAGATTTCACACATTCCAATACAATATGTCAACATGCCGAGAACTTGTAATACATAAAGTGAGCATGTATAATTCGCGGACGTAGCAATGCAAACATTAAACCGCATTCCACTGATAATATCACTAATACCTGATTACATTGATGCACAGCATGGCGGAATGCACTATAAATGCTAAACAGACCTCATTCGTATCGGATTATATAACCTTTGACCTGCAGTGAATATTCAACTACAACTCGACATGAAGCGCGGGCAACTTAAGGTTTCCGTTTGCGTGTTGATGTTGATGGCAATTCTAAACGAGTGTTTGAATACCCCATTAATCTACAAAAATGTGTGGTTTATTCCTACCGAAAGTGAGCATGACAGAACTGATCAGTTTGTGAGCGACATCTACCGTGAAGAAGACGGATTGCCACAGTTGGTACGTGCATTACAATGTTCTTTACTAAAAAAACTTGCATAGTTTCAGACAACACGACATGTTAGTGTCCCTTCAAAACAAAATGAAAAAAATGAATCACCCTCTTCTAAATATATATATCTACGGTATCACTATTCCTATTTTTTGATCACCCGATTGTTATGGTAATGTACGTCAAGTAACAAGAATTAGCCAATTACAGCGTTAAATTCAGGTCAGCCAGCCCAGCTTTATGACTTTCCGTGATTCACATGTTTCAATAGTCCTTTCAGTTTGCGAATATTATTCATAATTGTTTTACTGATAATTGACGACTGACTATATACGTGTAATTACCTATTGCTTATGTTAATGCGAAATATGTAAACCGACGCTCACGATATTAATTTAATTCAGTGTATCAGCAGTCGAATATTAAATTGCCTAAATGTGAATATCATCATACAGAATAATTAAAACAATACGAAACATTAAGAGTACAAAAAAAACAAAACACAAAAAAAAAAACTTCTCGTGTCTTGAATTATTCCCATCGCGTCTTATACAATAGAGGATAACTTCATTTTACTGGCATTGACGTATAACTTGTTCGTTAACACCTCGTATGTCATATTAATAAAATAGCTGCCGAGCGTTGGTATGTACACTAGGCATTATTCGGTCAGTATTGACAGTATTCATGTCACGTACACAAATGTACTTGATTGCATTTGGATACAGGCGGTGTTACATCCCAACATGTGTTGTACGTGACGTAAATACCTAGCCACATACTATATAGACCATTCAATGAAAGTACATATTAGATAGTGTACGTGTACAAGGACTTTAATATTGGGAAGACAGGTACAGTCTTTGTTGGCCTGCTCTTGCTCGGCAACGACGGTGTTAATGTTGTTGTTGTTGTTGTTCATTTTCAATTTCATTTTCTGTTGTGTGTACCAACTATCATGATATAGTTGACTTTCCGAGGTGTAATTCTTATTGTTAAATATTTAATGCATGTACCTTTGCAATGATTATTGTTTTTTTAAATATATTTGCAAACTTACATGTACTTTTGCTGTCACAGAATGAGGGACTTGATCTAGAAATCAGAAACATAAATAAGCCTGATAATCCACCAGGATCAGAGACAGGCGAACCCATAGGAACCGGACATTCCAATAAAGAGAGCACTGTGGCCAAAATAAGAGTGAATTCCAACGATCTCGGACATTCAACAGGTGACCGTCGTTATTTATTACCAGTGCTGAGAACCGGCGCTGGAGGCCAGAATTCGCAATACTTCAATTTTCTTAATGCAGCCATATTGGCCCTGTTGAGCAATAGAACACTAATTTTGACGCCATTTTTTCTACATGGTGGACACGCACGTGGTTATACATTTAAACATATGAAACAGTTCAGTGACACGTTTAATATCGATAAACTTGTGGAATTGCTACCTGTTGCATCAATAAATGAGTTTAACA